AGCCGTCCGGGTAATCCAGACAGATGGGACTCGTTAATGGGACGCGCGAGTAATTTGCAAGAAATCTAATAACACCGTGGCCTCCCACCCCCGCCCCCCTCCATAACTCGTGGCTTGACTTTCCGCCTCGCAGCTCCCCGTCTCCTTCTGCCCCCTGCAACCTGCAACCCTGGCCTATCCTTCGTCCGAGGACCGTCTAATGACAATACACGGGCGCCGTGCTCGTGAAAATTAAAATTCGCCCGGGGGTCGTACACGACGTTCTCGTAACAGCGCCCGGTCGTCTCGCCCCCGCGCACGTGTGAGTGCGTGTGTCCAGGTGGTCGTGAGGGATCGCGATGTAGCGATGGAGCCGATACTCTCGCGAGTTATTATTTCGACTGCGGCAACGCACGAAAGTTCATAGTCTAGGATAATCAGTACTTTTTATATATTTACTATTTCTCGATTATTATAATCAGTTATCTTAAACGATGTAATTAGACATTCAAACGAATTTCTTAAACGAATTTTTTTGTTTTTAGAAAATTGTTCTTCACTTTCTCTTATTATGCAATATTTTACAACGCTTTTACAACGTTCCCTTGTTATTTTGAATACTGATAACAATGAATATCGTTTTTGTTCGTTCAAGATCCAGCTTTTTAGTCTTGTTACTCCTGCAGTGATCCTTCCTAACTAGAAGTCTGATTTTCATTTTTTAGTTTGCTTAAAAGACAAGGTAAATACCGGTAAGACAAACCTCTCCATCGCTACCGCGTGTTGGTACACGGGCGTGTGCGTGCATGCGTACACCGCAGATCGTGTAGAAGAGAGAAAAGACGACGCGGGGGAGCGCGGAACTCGTTAAGCAGTTTGCGGTTCGTCCCGTCTTTTTTTTCCACCCGGGCTCGCCTTTAACGTAAACATATTCCGCGAAGAGATCAGCATCTTTCTCTCTGCGCGCACCGCGCTTTTTCTTCTTCTTTATTTCGCCTACCGGTGTCTTTCGCCTCCCCCGCGCGTCTTTGTTTCTTATTACGCGCCGGTTTCTGGTGTCTGGGTCCACCCACGATGCGCGCCGATTGAGCGCGCGAATCTCGCTGGTATCAATTTGGGGGGGAGGAGGACGATTCTCTGGCCCGTCGTTAAGCCAAAAACCGACGAAGTTTAGAACGATGAAGTCTGGACGCGAAACGTTCATATCTTCAAACTACAAAAGAAACATCTGCCTCGTCCTCTTTTTCTTTCAGGAAGATTATCGTAACCAATATCCCGCTCGGGGTTTATTTTAATAAAAGCAAAAAAGGCGGAACGATCGTTTTCAAACGCGGCTCAAGAGACTCGTTTTATTTAGCGCTAAAGCTGTCTGTTTCTGAATTTTATCTCGCCTATATGAAAATCGCACGTCTCGCACAGCCACGGCGCGAGACGAAGAGTCAGATGGCTGCATTTAGCGCTAACTGCACGGTGAGAATGCGGGGCTATGATCGCGAAAATATACGATCGATATACGATCGGTACTATCGTGGCATGCAACAGAGCGATCCGGCCAGATTAAACCGCCGATTAAAATTCACGGCGTGTCCAGGCAGTATAATTTAATTTCGTAGGTGTTCGTGCGGATCGAGTTACGCGGCGAATATCGCGGGGAGGACTCTCCCTCGCGCGCGCGCGCGCGCGCGCACGCGTTTATTTCCCTTTTCTCTTCCCTTTCGGCCGAAACGCGAAACGTGGTCCCGCAGGTCGGCCTCGCCTTACTCGATGTCTGGATAACAAACTTGACGACTATTAAAATTGAAACGCGCTCATTATCGATTCGCCATGCTAATCGAGCATGGCGGAGCGCGGACTGACGGATTCCGTGAGGCTCGGGTTACATGGACTCGATTATTTCGTTCGATTAGACACGAGATCGCTACGGCACGGCACTTTCTTGCGACGACGATCTCAGCCTCGCCCGCTGTGCCTTTGCACGACCATAAATTGCGCACCTCGTAAATACTTCTGCGACATCCCCTTATTTAGAGTCATGTTATATTGCGTGAGAAATATAGTAGAAATATAGTCAAATATGAATATACCGACGCCGGTATATTTTATTTTCTCGGATATTGAATTTATAAACATAAATAACACACAAAAATATAAGCACTTTGGCATATCCAGCTTTAATTATGAATAATTGAAGTTGTAATGTGGAGTAAAGCATTATTGCAGTATTTTATTGTATGTAGATTAAAGACGCACAATATAAGTATTATATATATTATTTAATTTATAAAACAGTACGATATTTTACGTGATACATAATAATGAAGGATCAACGAGAATGTCGAATCCGTACCGGTCGACTTCCGCAGTCGTAACTTTTCTTGATTCTGGAAACAGGCTCTGGAAGCAGTCGATTAATTATGCGCATTCGTCAATCGTATCTCGTGAGATCTGTGCCGTGACCGGCGTTTTGGATTAGCGGGTGGTCCGATGTGTCGGTTGGGAGGTGGTGATGGTGGCCGGGCCCCTTCGTCAGCCTGAATCGGTCCGCATTTAGAATCGGATAGCATTAAAGCGTTGTTTAGCAGGCTATTCTGAATTTTAATTCCCGCGGTCGGCAACGTAATCGAGGTGTGGAATAGATTAGTTTTCGCTCACACGACTGTCAGCTACTTGCCGCGGGGCCCTGACTGACTGACTGACTGACTGACTCACTGACTGACTCGATTGCAGGACGACAGTTAACTTCCCCTTCTCTCTTTATCTTATATACATTCTCTTCTACGATTCTCTCGTTCGGCTCTCTTTTATCTCTCTTTTTTTAATAGCATACCTATTATTTCATCCGTTTAATAATTTCTTAGAAATTATATTAATTATTGCAGTTTATTAAATATTTTTATTCTCTATAAAAAGCGATAACGCTTTAAAGCTCATGAATTTAATATAACAATTTAAAATTGAAGCAAATAGCCACAGATGAAGCTAAATATGTACAGTATATGTGCTAAATATGTACAAATACGGATTAAAATATAAAGTTTCTAACGATTTAAAGGTCAATTTTGGTCTTTAACCAGCACTTTACTGCTATCTTTTAATAATAAAACTCGGATCTGAAAAATCCTATAATCAGATCAACTTCACACAATATATGATGCAGCTATTTCTCAATAAGAAAAAACCACGATATAATTCGATATAATCACTCTAATTCAGCCTGTCAAAAACTTGTCAATTACTTCTAGAGGGAAACGACAGTGACAAAAGACGAAGCCGAGGGGAGGGTCAAGCTCGTCCGATGAAGATGCCGCGCGAGATCGCGCCCGAACGCTCGTTTGAGAAAAAAGAAAGCGCGACCGCGGTTCAAGGTCGCTCGTCTGGACCAAGTTCGGAGCTCGTTGTTGCCGCGGTAAAAAGAAGAGGGATGATCGATGGTGAGAATCGACTGGGCTAGTCACTGTGGCTTCGTACAGGAGAAGACATCACCTTGCGGAGGAGGTGCCAGGACTCTACATTCGGCGCCTAACGCTCGAGGATCCCAGGAGGAGGGAACCGTCCGGTTCAAGGTCGCCGTCCCCGGCGCGCCATATCTGTCATCCTCGTAGCGGCTGTACGCGCTTGGCGCGAGGTTCCTCGAGGTATATCGAAGCGGATCGGAAATCTAGCAGGGACTCGAGATCGTCGAGAAATCTTGTTGACAAATACAGCCGTCTTTGCTAGCGAGTCGCGATCAGCTCGCCGGCGATGATTGACAAGTTGGATCTCTGCACCTGCAGCTTCAACCGCTTATACTATAATACCGAACCGGCAATTAAGCCATCGAGAACTGGTTTCAAAGAATTTTCGCGGGTTTCGTCTATATTTAGAGAAGAACGCTTTAACATATCGTTCGCTTGACAGTATACCTTATCCTGTTTGAATTTCTATTTATAGACATTGAAAACATTGAGAAAATTGTTCGAGTAGCAAGATAATTTTTTTTTTTTATAAAGTGCTCATTAAAGATTCTGCTATTTCGCACATCCTTCTTTATATCTTACATATACTTTGAGAAATGAAATTTTCTAGGACGCGTAAAGCAGAAGGGTTAATCAGTCCTGTCTGATTATTGAATGATTAACATCGACCGTGTACGAATTAACATAGTTGCGCTAAAGAGTCGAACTTCTCGAGGCGACGCGACCTGTGCGCGCAAGCCGAGACCTAGGGAAGTCGCGCTGTTCACGATGAACGCTCGCTAGGACCCCGTAATTAAACGTACTAAAATTTAACGGTCGGTCGGACGAACGTTGCTGCGACTTAATAAAAGCCTCCACGGACAATCGCCGTGAGGCCGCGGCACCATAACGTTATTAAAGCGGTTCTCGCATTAAAATACGAGCAGTATCGGTACGTCATTATCATCGACGTTTGATCTCCCTCTCCCTCGCCGTCTCATTCTCTCGTCCGCCGCGCGTCTTCGTCTTCAATCTTCCCCTCCGTAACGCGGCGAACCTGACCTCCGCGCGAGATCCGGGCAATGTTACCGGGTTTATTGCGACTTTGGAACGTGCTCTCGTTTCCCGCGTAGCGACCCTCGCCCGTCGCCGCCGAATCCTCCCACGTTCCGCCTGTATTCCCTTTGATCTGCGTGCCTTCTTCTTCCTTTCCCTGGAAGTCTTTCCGAGCGGCCGGCTACGCCTCATAGAACACGCTCTTTGCCCTCTCGGCAATTAAAGCTATTGCTCAATTCAGTAATCTGGAGCAGTTTGCGGATCGCGGATCACGCCAAGTCTTTTGAAATCTTGTTCATGGTATTATTCAAAGTATCCTCACGAACGGTGTATCGCCGATTGACTTGGTAATAATAGAGTAAATTAAGAATATGTGATATATTATTGTGTTTATATATAAACTCATTATATGTCTGATCGAAAAGGATCCTAAAACGAAATGTAAAATTGAACGTTTGCTAATGACTTGTATATGTATTCCACATTATGTTAACATAAAATATCTATCTCGAACGCCCAACATTATTTATGTTTTCCTCAAGAAGTCATAGTTTCTTTTAATTAACTTTCTGCTTTTTGTCGCTGTTCCAATTTACTCTTTTCGTTGTTTTTATTCGCATTCCTACTTTTTCGTGGGAATTCATTTCGATTTCATTATTAATTTATCCTTAATGAAATTTAGTCAACAAGAATAAATTAATTTTCAGAATAAATTATTTGTAGTCGCGATATTTATTTTTTTCTGAACGGACGAACGTAAGAAATAAAACAACGACGCGCCGCACTGATAAATTTACCGAATCATCTCTCGCCATGATTATTTTCGGTGTCCAGGGTATTATTTTTCCCCTCGTGCTCTTCCCGCGCTTCATTCTCCATCGCGCGAGCTCGCCTTTTTGCTCTCGCTATATTTTTTCATCCCCTCTTCTTGTTCAGCTTGCGGTTCAAGGTCGTAATCTTCTCGAGACCTCCTTTCTTTCAACCAGTTCTCCGCTTCGTCTCCCTTTTAATCTTTTTCTTTGGCCGTTCTTGCGCCTTCGTTTTCGAAGTTCAAGGCCTTCCTCTTCTTCTTGAATATTTTCTCCCGACCTCTTCCTCGTGTACTCGAATTTCTTCTTCCATGTTCTCATTTTCCATTTACTTGCTCCATTTCTCTCCAAACTTTTCTCTCCGGATCCTCTTTCTTTCTCCTTTCATCTCTGTTCATCTCGCTTTTCACTTTCAATTACTTTCCGCTCCAAGAACGTCACATCTTTTTTCCTCTTATCGTATTCGCCTCGGTAATCTCTTGTTTTCTCATTTTTCTTTTCTTTGTTGGTATAACTTATGTATTCAAATATTTTTCGATTTTATAGCATCATTTTTCTTTTTCTCTGTTATAAATTTTATACATCTTTTTTTTCGTGTTATCTTTGAAAGATTTGGTCTTTTCGTACTTCACTTTCGCCGTTCTTCCCACCAAGAACTTTGTTTCCCTTATTCCTTCTCGTTACCTCACGTTTACGTCCACCTTCTTCTCGGCGTTTCCTCTTTGAAGTGTCGTGCCCTCCAGGCTCCGCAATCACATCTAGTTATCCAGTTGTCTGAAGTCGAGGAGGGCGAGTACCCTTTCTCGTTGTCGTTACGAACCCTTTCTGCGCCGTCCACATCGTGCAATCATCGTGGCGAACGATCATTACAAAGTGAACGAAGCGAGAAGTGTTGCTAACTTCGTCGTGACACGAGCCCTGCGGCCCTTCGCTCGCCCGTCTTACGAAAGACATGTCTTCACTTTTATTTCTTCGCGAATGTTAGACGATAGCGATTCTCTCTTCGATGCCCTATGTTATCGTCGAAACTTTCCAATCTCGAAAGTTACATTTCCGACCGTTCACTCAATGGTAGATACTAAATTTTTTGAAATTTAAGAGGCACTGAAACTATATATGTCCACCTTGAACGCATGGCATGTTTAGATTTAAAGAAAGTGCAGAGCATGACTAGATTATTATAAATAAAAATATATTAGATATTACTTAAACATGTTGTTATTATTCTTATTTAAATCATATATCTATTTCTAATCTTTTTACCATTCAATCTATTTATATCTAGCTACAGATCTTGGCTGGAAAGGATTCGGAAGGAGAGCCCGGCTTTCTTAACAATAGTATCGCTGGAACTCCCGGAATCGCCGATTCCTTTAATAGAGTTCCAAGCAAACGCGCGTTGGAGACGTGACGAGTCCAATGTAGTCGTGAAAGACAAGGATGATATTTTAGACGAATTTCTAAAGAGGGTCACGGAGATTGAAAAGGATAGAGAAAAAGAAGGCCACGTAGGAAGAAGCAGCGTGTCCCGGAAAAGTCGTCGCAGTAGCAGAAAGGACAGCGAATCTTTGGAATGCACGAAAACACCCGCCACACTCGAGGAATGCACGAAAAACATTATCGAAGGTCAGTTTGTGTATCTTTTCTTCAAGATAAGATAACGAATGCGCGTGCCACTTTGGAAAAAAATAGCTTTGGTTCTCTAATATATCATTCTAAAAATTTTAAATGATAACTTTAAACTTTCTTCTGAAAATAAATCTGATATTCACACATTCGTTGAAGCGTATATAGTTAAGAAAGAAATATATACTGTGTAACACCTTACATAACATGCCATGCGTTACGTAGAAGGAAATAGGGTTGCAGTCCTCTGGATGTAGGTATACGTCAACCTCCTAACGCAATCCCTACTTTCGTCAGGCTCGGGCTCAGAATCTTTAGAACAAGATCAGGGATTTTCAGATTAAATCAGGTGTAACCCGGATAATGTCGCCTTCAAATTAGCCGATTCATTATGACTTAATTGTCCTTGGAGTCGACCGTGTTCGCGGATTATAAGACTGTCACAAAGAACACCGTAAAAAGTCCATATTTTCGCATTTATCGGCTTTACATTTAATTACCACTTTTTTGTTCACGCTATTTTATCCATGGCGAGACGTCGTTTTTTATCTATCTCCGCTCGACTTGCTCCGTGAGAGGTCTTTCGGAGCATCTACAGCTCGCGCTTACTTTTAAAGTTCGATCCTAGTCGGCGAGAGCTCGAGATCGGATTTCAGGGACGCGCGCCGCGCCGGCCGGCAGGATCGCCGTAAACGGACCTTGAAATTGTGTGGGCGCCTTTCGCGATTCCGTGGCGATTTATCGAAATTTTTCCGGCTGGCGTGCGAGAGACCGGCTTAAGAGGAGCGGCTAAGCAAACCACGAAATTCTCGGACGGCCAATATCGAATTTCAGGACCGAGCCGCGAAGGACCGACTCGACCGCAGGATACCGGCGACGACTGCATATGCTCCGAGATACCGAAGGATCTGCGAATTAACATTCGCAGGAAGACGGAGATCGCGCGTACTCCGCCGTGTACTCCGAGTCCGGAAGTGACTCACGCCATTCGGATCGCGATGAAGTATCACGGCCGGTCGGGATGCAAAGTCGGAGAGGACGAGAGTCTAGAGGAAGAGGAGGAAGAGGAGGAGGAGGAGGAGAAGGAGGAGGACGACGAAAAGCGAGCGGATGAAGAGGCGGAGAATGGCAGGAGGACGAAGAACGAGGGGAGCAAGAAGGATCTTCAAGGTCCATCGAACGCGAGGAAGGAATCGGTGAAGCACGACGCTCGCTGCGTCGGTGCGAACGCCACGTTAGACTTCACGCTAAATTGCAATAGCGTGCGACTCACTACTCGTGACACGAGTTTGAAAGCAGCGTCGAGAGGCGAGAGGCAGGAACGGCCGGAAACGCGAAGTTAGTTCGCGTGGGTTTCCTCTCGAAAGTGTTTCGCTCGAGATCCCGTGTTCCACACGATGGATGCTCCGCTGTGGCTTTAAATATACATATCGTAAAGCACATAATAGCTCGATGATTTCCCTACCTGCTCCCTTCGGTGTTTTTAGCCTGTCGGAATTTCTGCTCGCACGCGCCTGAACTAATCTCTTCTCTGAGATTTATCTTTTTTTTTGTACACTCAATAAAGTATTCATCTTGTTTTTAATTTTCAGTAAATGGGATAAATTAAAATGCTCGAGAAGTTGAATAAATTCTTCTCATAATGAATGAAATCTCCTTAATGTAAATTTGTTTAGTTTTAAAATCGAAATGTGTGCGTCAGAATAACTTATCGAATTCACGGTAATTGACACGATGACTCGCTCCAAGAGTTTTTGTCAACAAATTCAATGGGCGTGAGAGCGAATTTTGATCGAGTGTGTCTGCACAATAATTTGCAAAAACCGCATATCCATAATTTTGGGACTTGTCTAAACAAAAATGCCGACAACCAAGCATAACATAGCATTGACATGAAACATTCCTAAATTTTGCTATATTATACGATATTTAATCTTCGTGAGCGAATATTAACTTCATTAGCATGTTATATAGGAATATATATTTAATAAATTTAAGCTATTAAGTTTCTCCTATTTTTAAAATTCAAAAAAATATCCAGAAACCGATAAATATTGGTGAGAGTCATATAAATCCTAAGCATTTAGAAAATAACATTTTAACTAGTAGGTATAATAAATAATATATATTTAGCAGTGCCATCATCATATTTTTTATATTATTTTTTTAAATAAAAACTTGGAATATATAATACAAATTTTAAAAAGTTACACTATAAATAACGCTAAACACATTGAAGTTGTCGATAATTATTCATGGCCTTTGATTTGCCAGAATAAGAGCTAAACGTGATTTAAAGCACTCGGTATATTCAACGCATACCTACCACGATACAGCAAGTGTCTTAGCACGTGAAATCGCGAGATTCTCGGTGGAGATGCGACACAATCACGGCGGGGAGTTTCTAGATTTCGCTCGTCGCAAAAACCGATTCTCTTTTTCCGATGCCGAAAACCGTAAGTGGGAGGATCGTGCTCGCGCCAGTCGGCGAAACCGCTCGTGGAATCGTGAATCTTTCGCGAGCGGCAATAAATCGCAATCGTCGATTCGATTTCTGCGAACACGCGCGCGCGCGAGAGAGAGCATACGCGCAGATACGTCGAGGCGGCCTATTAATTAGCTCGTCTAATAAATCGCGACTGGGGTCGGGCGAGGGGAAGGAGAAAAGGGAGGACGGAGGGAAGAGTGAGACGCTATCACCCTTTCGGTTCTTCTCGCTTTCGATCACGGCTCGCAAGAAGAGGTAGGAGGAAGACAGAGGGAAGGAGACGGAATGGTGAGAAAGGGATGGAAGGGGAGGAAGAGGCCAGTATGCCGATCAAGAGGAACAAGAAGAAGAGGAAGCGGTCGAAAAAGAGAGATCATCGTACGAGTTTCGTGGTGGACCAAGCGCGCGAGATGAGAATCGCGCGTCTAGGTTGGCTCCATGGAAGGCCAAGCTGGGCCCAAACCGGGTGAGAGAAGTTGGCCGGCTCGTCTCCGTCTCTCTTTCTCTCTCTTTCTCTTTCTGTTCATCTTCTTTACTTTCCTCCTCCGCTTCTACCACGTCTTCCTCCCACTCTCGCGAGGCGGCCATCGCATTTTTATTTTGTCTGTGCTGCGCCGCGTTGCGCTGCTCTCTCTCTCTCTCTCTCTCTCTCTCTCTCTCTCTCTCTCTCTCTCTCTTTCTTGCCCTCTCCTTCCCTCTTTCTTTCTCTCTTTCTCTCTCTCTTCTTCGTAGGGCGAAAATGGTTCATGGCCGTTCCCGAACGCCGATTTCGCCGCGGATCCTGCGCGGAGGATCGACCTCTACTCCCCTTTATCCTGCGTCTCTTCTCCTGGTCCTGCCACTTTATTCGCCACGCTTCTTCGCTCCGGCCGCCTCCCAGTCGCGTCGCGGTTTTTCTTCGCGGTATTCCTTTCTTTATGCACGCGATTGCATCGTCCACCTTTTTAACGCGCCGTAATGGAATTTCTGTTTTCTACCGGCTAGATTATACCACCGCCTTCTCGAGGCGTTTTTTCGACCCCGTCGAAGTTTCGTTACTTTTATAACGGCCTGTAGAATAGCGTTTGGCCGAACAATGCGGGAGCCGTTTATCACGTGAGTCGTAAATCAATTTTTGAAATATAATAAACAAGTAATGAGATGCGGGTGTGTGCAAATCCATGCGATACTTTAGCGAGACTTTCAAAACACGATCGCTTTAAAATAAATGACTCATATAAATTATCAGCGGAGATCAATACGACTTATAATGATTTCAAGATGAATGACTCGTATATATAAGTTATCATTGTCTTTCGCAGCATTCTTTCGCAACATTTATATGCAAATTACTCTGTCGATTTATTTCTCTGTGAGATAATATTCTTTTTTTTTTTACTAAAAAACAGTGCTAATCTTATTATTACTGTTTTCTTTTATACTTTTTCCGTATTATTTTGAATTAATTCCGAAATTTAAAAATCTACTTTATTTTATAAGAACGTTTGATTTAACATCAATAATTATATAATTAACGCTTTCTTTCCTGTGTGTATTTCTTCAAGTTTTCCTGAAGAACGCATTTTCCGCGGTTACGGCATAATTGATCTAAAGAAGAACGCGCCAACTGCGATTATCGCCTAATTAAACTCCACATCCGATCAGCCAGGATGACGATCGATATTTCGTCCGTAAATAACTATCCTTTGCGTATCGCCAAGGGAGAGTCAAGAAAGGCGAAGGGATAGCGTGAAACAACGCGAGAGCGTGTAAGTTCTAATCGCAAAGAGTCCTTTCCCTTGGATCAAATTACCATAAATAATGATCCCTTTGCAATATTTATAGTAACTCATACCCTACGGCCTTAAGACCGCCTCACCCTGCCATTCTTCTCCCTCGCCCCTATCATTTCTTCGACTTTCTCTTGCCATTTTACCACCCTGCCGTCCGTGTCCTGCTCCTCCCATCGGCTCGCTCGATCGCGTCAAGTTTTCCGCCGCTTTTCTTTTGTATTTCTCGCCCGCCTTCGTTCGTCTGCCTCTCCCTATTCTCGGCATCGATTAACGTGTTTACCCGGTCGGCCGGGGATGCAAAAACGCGCGAACGGCCGCGCCGACCGCAATCGACGTTCGCGGAAGATCGCGGAATCGGAAAACAAAGGGGACTTTGTGCTCCGCTGATGAGACTGCGACGCCTCTCCTCCATCGCGTTTCTCTTCTTTTCTGTCGGATATAACGAGGCGCAGGGCGAGAGGAGAAGAGCCGAGAGGAGAGGGTGTCAGATAGGGAATTGGTATGTTGATTGTGTGTGCCGCGCCGGTGGAGAAAAAAAGATAGAAGAGAGATAAAGATGGAGAAAGAAGGGATTTAGCTTGTTGCACGTCTGGAGTCGGGTTCCGCTAAAGTCGTAATGCCGAAATAAGAAAAGCTTCGTTGGGGTCATTCGTTGATTAATTTAACAATAGTTAGTCTTCCTTGAACTCACATAATTGTGCATTTAGATTGTCGCACTTTTCATACGTGAAATTTATATGAATGCTGTAATTAATTCCCGGCGACCTTTTGAGTCTTCGAGTTTTTGAATTGGATATTACTCTCTCGGAAATAAATCATGTGCACTTGTCGTTAGCAAATGCATTTTATTTGCATACGCGGGCACGTCGACAGAGTTCGAAATTAAGATATCAAATTCGTCCCTTAAGTGGATTTCTCACTTGAGAAGATAAGGTTTCATTTAGCTTGGATAAGCCGATTAATTCTGCCGACTTTTTTAAACATTTGTGCGTCATGAACAACCTTTCCGTAACTCAAAATATAATTGACTTAAGAGCAAAATTAATATTAATTATTTATCGTGATAATATATAATTATCATTTTTAACAAAAATTTGAACATATAAATTGTCATTAACATTTCAATAGATCCGCAAGATCTAATTAATTGTATAACCAGTTTATTCGTGTGGTTATTCTTATGAGTTCGATGGATACCTCTAAATAGATCGTGTCTAAAAAAAAGCAGAATAAATTAATGATCTCTGTGAGATGGCTATGCATAAATTAGGCACACGACCGTTTATCTGTTGCAAACGAATTTCGTTAACGAACGATAAAATAATGAAGAAAACGACACTTCAAAAATGTTTATCGCGCCGAGAAATCTAGCAGGGGCAAAAGAGAAGAGGAGAGAAGGAAAGAGTCGAGGAGAGATAAAAGAAGTAGTAGATATATCCTTGATGAGCGATCGTTATCACGATGAAAATGCAGTCTCGAATCGATCCATGGCAGTCGATTCCTCTTGGCTCCTTTTATTAGACTGCCAATTTCGTGGCGTCTTCCACGGAATTCTCTTTTCTTCTCTTCCTCTCCTCCTTTTTTTATTCTCCCCGATACGAAATCTCGCTGACTCGGCCGCCGACAAAAATTCCTCCTCTAATCTCGAAGTGCCTTTTCGACGCTTATCTCGGAACGACGTGACGTCACGGCGGCGCACATGTTAACTCGTAAGAAGAATAATTCGATTATGCCAACGTCGGCCCGTCGGATTTCACAGTGGATCTCTTGTTATCCGATTTTTTTTTCTACACTCGCGGCTTTTTCTTCTCACTTTGTTTCCGGCGTCGACGCCTTTTTTCATGTGCCACATAAATCTTCGCTCGACCACGAAAGTAGCCGTGAAGTAGATATATCTTCAATTAAATCCGCCGTACAGTCACTTGAAATTAATTTTTTACTCGGATCTTTACGTTCAGTCTCTGAAATTTATTTTTTTACGTCATCGTACAAATGAAATTGTATCACGAACGCAAAGAATAAGATTCGTTTGACAAATCCGATAGAGCAAAAGTTATCGTATGCGCAATCGTCGGTGAAATAGGACTTTTTCTTCCACTTCCGTCGCGAGCTGGCTAGTAGACGTGTTTCCGTTTCGGATTTTCGTTTCAT